TGGATAAAAGTTACAGTGCAGCAAAAGATTTTTTCCAAAATGTCAAAGTATAATTAAAAGGCTGTCTGCATCAGCCACTGCAATGTTACTGAAAGCTAGAGAGCACATACCTTACACACATCTCATGCTTTAATTATATTAATAGAAAAGTATACACATTTAAACTTGATAACACAGAGTAACCTAACATCATGTGATTCCTGTACTGTTAAAGTAAGTAAGTGATGCCTGGGTGGGTATGTACCTGGGTCTTAATCTGCACCGGATCGAAAACCGCATGGCCTTGGTGGATTAAGAGGTTAGCATCAGTTCAGATTGCTGAAGCTCCGCGCTGCATTTGATCCACTCCTGACCACTGTGACACTGACCTCCTAACATCATGGGGTCCTGTTTGGGGCCCGTGGTTAGCTCTTTTCAGTAGTATCTAACTCAAACCCAAATGTGGCAGAGCCCTGTGCAATGTTCAGGCAAACAGATGTTTTGTTTGTTGTTAGTGATTTAACATGTAATTCTATTTAATCATTCCTTGTTTAGTTTAATTGTAGAGTTAACTGTGAAAACCTTATTTTATAGAAGTCACATAAACCTTGGTTAAATGCTCTTAGTCTAACCTTTATCCCTGCCTGGAGGACTGTGTTAGTGAAGTGAAGTCCGTTTTCCAGCCAGCGCTGATGGAACACCTGCTGCCACCGCGCTTTGTGCAGATCGTGTTGTTGATCTACGACTGTTCAAATAGCTCCACCAGCACAGGGCAGGTGGTGGTCAATGAAACTAGAAGGAGACCATTAAAATGTCACAGATGTTGAGAAAAACAAGCTTGTGATATTGAATCACGAAAGGCGGTGTGTGTGTGTGTGTGTGTGTGTGTGTGCGGTGTGTGTGTACGTATTTTGTTCTGAATGGACACTTTTTTTTCCAGTTTAGCTGATTGCGATTGGAGACGTGCAAAGGTATCAGTCTCCAATTATAGCTGTTAAGGGCTGTCTGGCCATTTCACACAGACACACACACACACACACACACACACACACACACACACACACACACACACACACACACACACACACACACACACACACACACACACACACACACACACACACACACACACACACACACACACAATGCAATTTGTTCACCCTTTCACCAATGTTAGTCATAGGGTGAATGAACTAAAAAGCCTAATTTCATTTTGTGTGGTATTAACTCGTAGACAGCATGATAGAATTGTTGTTGCTAAATTTAAGAGAAGAACGCTCTTACTAGTGCTGTTGGGAATCTTTGGGACAATCTCACCTTAAAAAATGTTTTTAATTCAGAAATCTTTACTTGAATCAATGAATAAAATGACCCACTGTTTCAGAGTTGTTATTATAGCAATCAAGCCAAATCGTTCAGTCGTGTTTTCAGACCACTTAATTGTAATATGAAACACAATAGGCCGTTAAAGGGAATAGCGCCGTTTTTTGAAGTGGGTTTGTAAGAGGCACTTATTCTTAGTCAGTGTATTACCAGTACAGTATGGCTGCCATTGTTTGTACTTCATTGTGGACTGTTACTGTGTTCCTTTGGTGAATCCAAACTCACCCTTTGAAACACAAAGCTCACACAACAACACAGACCAACTGCAGTCACAGGCCGAGGCAGCAGGAGATCAGCAAACCTGTGATCTTCCTGTTTTTGTCAAAGGTGTCTGGTGGCTTTGAAGAGAGATAGCGACGGGGCTGTCTGAAGGCAAGATTTATTTTAGGTGGTTCAAATCAAATGTTCTCTTACCCCCGTCATCAGCAGTACATTGCTTTGCTCCTGTGACGGTACTCCTGTCTCAGTATTGCCATAACGTCATCTGCTGGGCCCCCCACTGACACTTTACCTCAGCCACAAACTCTATGCATTTCATTAATGCACACAATGCACAACAATATTTTGTATTACTGCTGATTTTTATTCCATATTTTATTCCTTCTATCCCAGTGTTTCTCAAACTTTTTCATACCAAGGACCACTTAACCAATAAAAAAACACTCACGGACCACCTTACTCCACAAATATCCCAAATCACATCGTTTTTCTAGAACAGATTACAAATTGCCTGAAAATGGTACGAACAGTTGGCAACATGTGTGACGAAGGTGTTGCGCTGGGCTATATCATGCAATAGAAAGTGAAACTTAAGCTCGCTCCATTGCGGAGATATTCCCGCGAGTGTGCGGAAAACTTAAATGTATTTATTTATTTCAAATGTGAAATTTTACCAATATACTCACGGACCACTAGGGGGCGCTCACGGACCACCAGTGGTCCGCGGACCACACTTTGAGAAGCACTGAAATCTATCCCATTCCATTGCAATGTAAATACTGTTATATTTTACTATATTTAAAATTATTTTTTATATTTTTTCTAGTTCTCTATCTGTGTTTTTAATTCTTGTTTTTATGCACCATGACTAGGGATGGGTATCGTTTGAAATGTATCGATTCCGATTTCGATTCCGGTTCTGCTTATCGATTCCGGTTCTTATCGATTCCCCGTTTCGATTCCAAAATTGTAAAATTAAGAGGTCAAACGTTTAGATAACAAAAATATATTTATTCTTAAAAGCTTTAACTGAAATTGTTACTAAAAAATATACATGCAATACAAATGTATTGCACAATAGCTGTGCTTTATTTTAACTGAGCTATGCCTGTGGCAAGCTATTAACAGGCATTACACTTTGCCTTTTCTTTTTCTTTTTTAGTGTAGTGGAGCCTCACTTCAGAGTGTTTACCGCGACCTATCTTTGGTGTTATGAAGTGACTGAGCTCGTGAAATGTCTACGGGAGGGCGGGGGAGCATCGCTGCGGGGCAACTGTGGACCTCTGTCGCCTGTCAGCGCAATTTATATGATGCCGTTTAAAAAAATTAAGGGCGGTGCCGGCCGTCAGCGTACCGAGCCGGCCGTCAACGGCCCGCTGACGACCGGCCATTCTGTGATTCTCCAGGTCCGCCCTGTATTCCACCGGGTCGCCGCGGTGCAGACGGACCCGCTGGAATACAGGGTCTACCGCGTTTAGGAACCGTTAAGCAGAACCGAAATTGGGGTATTTTGTATGGGTACCCGGTACCCGGCATTTTCTTATCGGTTCTCATCTGGAACCGAGTTTCGGTTCCCAACCCTAACCATGACATCAAGTAAAATTCCTCGTACATGTAAACCTACCTGGTAATAAACCTGTTTCTGATTTCTGAACTACACAAATAAGCTAAAATGTACCTTTTTGAGAAGTGGTCCTCTTAATGAAGGTCAAAGTGCGACCAGACAAAAATAATTCAAAAGATCTTGTAACACGTTTTATTGGAAGAAATGTGCAAATACTCTTTATTTGCAGCCTGAAGTTTTGACCACGAGTCAAAGCAGGAGAAGAATGTGGAATTATTAACACTAAAACGGCTGCACTTGTGTTTGTGGGACAGTTCCATACTCAGTCAGGGTAAAGAGTGAAATCACATTTTTATTGCAGTATAATCAGGATGCAGGTGAGCTTGTGATGGGTTAATAGCCCCCGCTCCACCCCACACTCACCATCACACACAGATGAAATCACCTTTAGAGCTTTTTCTACCTCTGCACACACTCGTTCTCGCACTAAGTGCAGCGACAATAGCAGCCCCGGCGCTCTCTGGTTAAACAGCTGGGTAATTGCAGCCATTATTTGAGTGGCTCATATTAGAGCCGAGAGGCAGAGTGAGTGCACTGTGTGTGAGTGTGTGTTTGTTCAGTAACTTGCGCCTGTTCTTCAAAGTGGATGAATGGTGATTGCTAGTTCGCTGATGTTGAGTGAGAGAAAGAAAGAGAGACTATATTTGATGACAATTATAGCTCTCCTTTCAACAGCAGTTACTCATATGACATCAGAGGCTCTGTTCAAAAGCTGTAGTTAAGTATTTTATAGCCTCTGCGGTTTGAAGTAGTTTGAAAACGTTATACATAATTGTCGCAATTATTCTACACAAAAGAGCTTCAGGTATTTGATTTACTGCCTGCCTAGAATCCCATTCAGCTCCATGTTCCTGTTGTATGTTGTGCTGCCCACATGTTTAACACAGAGCCTTTTCCATCGGTTCATTCAATATGATGTAGAAAATATTTAAAACAACAATGCACAGTTTAGTGGCTTTTGCATTTTTGTTGCTGCAGTATAATTATACAAACCATTTTTATTTCTCTAACATTTTCAAGTCGAAAAACATAAATATGTTTCGTTTTTTTACAAAAAATATTAAAAAACTGAAAATAGCTAATTATATATATATTATATATATAATAACGGACCCTGTGAGCATCATCTCATTTTAGTTTGTCATATTTTATTTTTAAATGATGGCATTTTTTTTGGGAGGGGAGTTCTGATTTTTTTGGCTGAGATTTTATTTGTATTTTATTGGACAAATACAGATATATGACTGTTTTGTAACCTGTATTTGACAGGGTTACGTTTTAAATGTACAATCTTAAATGCAATGAGTAAAGGTAGAAAGGAGTACAAAACACATAAACTCAGGTAAATTGCAAGTATCTCAAATTTGTTATCATGTAAAGTATTACTGAACTACATGCATTCATAAAGGGAGCCTAAAATGAACCGGGACAATTATTCTGAATATAATGCCACCAAGCAGTAGAGTTAAATTAAATCCTGAAAGCCCTTTCTTTCTTCTCATCACATATGAGTACAGGTAAAGCCCCTTCTCACACTTAGAAACAAGAAAAAAGGGTTAGCATCCATTGCCATCTCTAATGAGCTTGGCTACTATAGCAACAGGGCTGCAGGCAGAGGACTGCTAATTAGTTGCTTCCTAGTTAGTTACGCTTTATTTGTGGAAAAATGTGTCTCCTCTGTTGGGCTCCTGTGTCTTGGCGTGCATGAAAGTAAGCATTGTGTGTTAGAACAATAATATGAGGCAATGTGCTGTGAAATGCTGAAACGATAAATCATGTTCCCTTTGTTTTCCAGATAGCTTTCTCACCATGTGGGGAACAACTACGATGGCATTTCACTAAACCTGGAAAAGAGACGAGGCAAGGGCAGCAACACAAAAGATCCTTCTTTTGAATATACCATCATTTGGAAAAGGAATATTCTTTTTCCACAGTGCGTCCAAGGAAACAGTGAACTTACCAAGAGTATCAAAGAACTTCCTGCTCTTCTTCCCTTTGACTCTGACCCTTGACCTTGAGCTCTCACTATGAGCAGTCTGTTAGTGAAGCTAGACCCTCGGAGGGTACAATGGGGCACCACGTGGAACACCTTCACGTCCCGCGTCCTGAGGACCAAACCGGTGGAGTCCATGTTGGATTCAGCCACGACGGGCACAGACGCTCATGGGACCAAACTGGCCCGGGTCTTATCCACCGTGGACCTGGTGTCGCTGGGCGTGGGCAGCTGCGTGGGGACGGGGATGTACGTGGTCTCTGGACTGGTTGCCAAGGAGATGGCCGGTCCGGGGGTCATTGTGTCCTTCATTATCGCCGCTGTGGCCTCCATACTGTCGGGTGAGAAAATGCACATTGCGACTTCTCTCCTGCCGTCCATTACTGTCTCTCTTTCACACACACACACACACACACACACACACACACACACACACACACACACACACACACACACACACACCACACACACACACACACACACACACACACACACACACACACACACCACACACACACACACACACACACACACACACACACACCATGTATACATCACTTCAGGGGACATTACATTGACTTACATGTATTTCCTGGAGACTTATCCTAACCTTAACCATAACCAACACATGCCTAACCCTAACCCTTAACCTAACCAAGTCTTCACCCTAAAATGAATGATTCCCCTTATGGGGACCTCCAATTTGTCCCCATAAGGGAGGCGAGTCCCCACACGTGACTATGTAAACAGATTTAGGTCCCCACAAGTATAGTAATGCTAGACCACACACACACACACATACACACACACACACACACACACACACACACACACACACACACACACACACACACACACACACACAAGGCTCACTATAACACATGAAAGGCCAAAGCATTAAGGTTACTGCCGTTTTTATCCCAATTAAACTGATATGATTTATATTTTTATTTATATGATTTTATAAGAGCCTTTTAATAACCCTGCAATACGATCAAGGGCAAATACATTATTAGGGCAAAGCTATAATGTAAAAGGCACTCAGGGGATGTTTTAGTCCTACCTATCGTCTCCTATCTATACTCCAACATCTTTCAATTGGATGATAATGCAGCCCTTTCACTGATGTGTGTGTCTGTGTTCTCCTCCGTCCCACAGGAGTGTGTTATGCAGAGTTTGGCGTGCGGGTGCCTAAGACCACAGGATCGGCCTACACCTACAGCTACGTGACGGTGGGCGAGTGCGTGGCGTTTTTCATCGGCTGGAACTTGATCCTGGAGTATCTGATCGGCACGGCCGCGGGGGCGTCGGCTCTCAGCAGCATGGCGGACTCACTGGCCAATCACACTATCAGCAACTTTATGATCACACACATCGGAACGCTCAGCGGCTTAGGTGAGTGGGGAAGGATGTGTGTCTGCAACTGCTTTAGATCCAATTAAAAAAAATATTCCCACTAAAAATATTTTAGTTTATGAATTTGGATGAATATGAGATAAGGTTAATTTGTGTGCAGTACTTGCGTCAGTGATACTATACAACAGAGTAAAACTTATAATGAGGCTAAACGCCAAGAAAACTGAGGTTATTACCTATAACATCTTACCGGAACATCCACCTCTGACAACAACAGAAGTGCTTAAAGAAGTCAAGGACTTCAAGTACCTGGGCTCATGGGTCAACTTAACCGAGCAAGATCTTAAGGTGAGGAAGGCACTTGCATGGAGGGCCCTGAACGGCATGACCAGTGTATGGAACTCCAGCCTCCCCCGTCAAATCAAACTCAGCTTCTTCTATGTTCTCCTCTATGGTAGTGAATGCTGGACCCCGAAGCCAACCCTGCAAAAGTCTCTAGACGGATGCTACACCAGAATGTTGCGAGCAGTATTTAACATCAGCAAGAGTGTACATTTAACCAACAACATCCTGTACGAGGGAATACCAAGGGTGAGCGAGAAAATTGCAGCCAGGAGAATGAGACTAGCAGGACATTGCCAAAGGCATCAAGAGCTGCCAGCCGGCAAATTGGTGCTGTGGGAACCAACACACGGGCATCGGTCACGAGGACGTCCCGCACAAACATACGTGGACGTACTCAAGAACGACGCAGGAGCACAAAGTACCACTGAACTGGCCAGATGTATGGAGAACCGGGATGACTGGAAGCGACGATGGATGGCTGGAGAGAGATAATAAACTTGCAATGTTTCTTGCTTGGAAAAAAATCACTTTGGAATAGCAAATTCTACTTTTTGCTATTTCTTTTCTATTTACAAATGAGAACGTTTTTATTTGTTATGTTTGCACTAGAAAAGTAATTGAATCCTTTCTCTTCATTATCTTCCACATTTTATCTACAGCTTATTATTTATCAGCCAACTGTCTACTGTCTACTGTCAAGCAGTGATTGCTTCAAAAACAGACATTCACCCAATTCAAATCTAAGCGAAAAGTATGCCTTTTACTCCCCGTCTTTCATCAAAGCTTCATCTTAGATTCTAGCTTTAAATATCACCTTTGCATTGGCTTGAACCTGAGTCCTCCTGGGTTGCGTTACAAACCGTTTGAACCAAAGAAACAGATTTAATGAACTATATCTTTGCTGTCATTCTTTATTCTTGCAGTAATGTTTGTTCTGTCATAAATTGCCTTCTCAACATGTAACAGAAGCACACTGTTATCTGTATCACTGGACACAGTTTACATGACAGTGGCTTGATGTCCTGTTTTGGAAAAAATGATTGCAACATTATCTGGGAAATCATCCAAACCGTATCAGAATATTTCCGCGGAGCGTCCAAACAATGTTTTGCTTCTTATCTCGGAAATTGTGTCATTATGTAGAGAAATAGAGGACGGAGCATCTTGTATTTCTAAATGATTCATGGAACATAGTTTTCCAGGTTGTAAACGTACCACGAGGGGACTGCCTGCCTCTGTGGTGTTACACTAGAGCTGATGTGTGTGCCAGGGATGTCTCTCTGTGTGACCCCACCCTGACAGCCTCTTCCTGTCGGACACTGACACAGCAGAGGTATTAGTCACATGGTAAGCAGCATGGCCAGCTGTTCCCATCCATAATGGAAAGTTCACGTTTTCCTTTTCCTGCTGGAGATAAACGGCTGTTACTCCTAACCGCAGGAAAGCAAGGGAAATATAACTCAAAATATGTCTCGTTAGTTTCTGTTTGGCCACCTGTGTGTGTGTATTTATAAAGACTTAGCAGAGTTATGTTAAATAGCAACTAATGATATTGCAGCTCTACACTGGCTACCAGCAAAGCACAGAATTGATTTTAAAATACTTATTTTAAAGGGGACCTATCATGCTAAATGGACTTTTTGATGTCTTTTATGCATAAATATCTGTCCCCGGTACGTCAAAAACCAAACCCTCTCTCTTTTCCTCCGTGCGCAAATCTCTCTAAAAACGGAGGTACAACGGAGCTGATCCAGATTTGCTGCCGATGTGATGTAATATCGGAAATGTGAGCAGGCATAAGCTCCGCCCCCTCTTTAAAAAAATCAGCACTTTAGTAAAAAGGCTGAAATAGAGCGATATGAGGCATGGCTAAAATGGGTGATCTGTTTGGTATTTGGAGCAAAACTCTTCCTAGACATGTTTTTTTAATATATTTTTATATATCTGAGACCTATAATATATGCCTAAAAATAGCATGATAGGAGACCTTTAATTTACACAGTGCTAAATGGTCAGGCACCGTCTTACCTAAAATACATTTGTATCCACTATTGCCCCGCTAGAACATTACGCTCCCAGGGTGCAGGTCTGTTAGTGGAGCCCAGAGTCTGCAAAACAAGATCAAGAGTCGTTCAGAGCTCCCTTTCTCTAGAACCAACTTCCTGTTTTAATCAGAGAGGCAGAGAGTGTCCAAACCTTTAAGAGAGTGTTGAAGACCTACATTTTTTAACAAAGCCTGCAGTTAGAGCTGGCATTTGATGGTATTCATTTTATTTTATTTCTATGGTTAATTTGAATGTTTTATGTATTTTCATTGTCTTTGTTGTATCTTATTTTATTTTGTTTTATTTCTATTTGTATTCCACACACTATCTTGTCTTCTCATTTTGCTGTAACTCCATCATATACAATGTCTTTATCTGTAAAGCCCACTGAGACAAACGTGTTTTGTGGTATTGGGCTATACAAATAAAGTTTGATTTGATTGCTTTACAGTGCAAATGTGCATTCCCTACTGCTATCACAACTACAGCATCTGTGGTTTCAGGTAAAGGCGAGCAGTCGTACCCCGACCTGCTGGCGCTGGTCATCGCTCTGCTGGTGACGGTCATCGTGGCTCTGGGAGTAAAGAACTCTGTGGGCTTCAACAACGTGCTGAATGTCGTCAACCTCGCAGTGTGGGTGTTCATGATGATCGCCGGCCTGTTCTTCGTCAACGGAGATAACTGGGACGATGGGAAATTCCTGCCCTTCGGCTGGTCGGGGGTATGCACACACACACACACACACACACACACACACACACACACACACACACACACACACACACACACACACACACACACACACGCAAATTGAGTTACATGGAAGGAAGGTCTGCTGATGTTCTCTATGTATGTTGTGTTTCTTTCCGTCAACTGTCAAGTGGGAACTAAGTATTTAGTTTTGTACGTTTTTGTGTTTCTCTTAATTTCCTATGATACTGTTATGATTGGCTGTGAATAAGAAAACATGAAGGACAGACCATCTATTTATATTTATTTATTTGTAGAAAGGGGCGGGTAATATAAGATTAGTTTCTTCTCCCTGCTCCTTTTCGGGTATGGTGTGTTTATAGAGACATGTTTTGTGAATAATTGTTATACATTAATTTGTGCATACCATGAACGGAACAAATACAAATTAAGCAAGCTTTATCTTCTCCTGTTCCAGGTGATGCAGGGTGCCGCCACCTGTTTCTATGCCTTCATTGGATTTGACATTATTGCTACAACAGGAGAGGAGGCCAAGAGTCCCAACACCTCCATCCCCTACGCCATCACTGCCTCACTTATCACCTGCCTCACTGCCTACGTCTCTGTAAGTGACCTTGAGGAACACAGACATACTGTGTACACAAACACAAAGTAAAAGTCTCCATTTGTTTCTCGTTATTATCATTTAGGAGTGAGAAATGGGCTGTGGATGCCAAACCCTTATCTTGTCATTCAAAGTATCACTACAGCAAATAGAGAGATTTTAACATGGCTCACTGACTCCAATGTTAGTGAATACCTGTTTTACTTGACAGTCGAATCAGATCACAAGAACAGGCTACAATCACCGAGTAATATACACCCTTACATTTGGAAACAGAAGCAATGCAATTTAATCCTCAACAGTATTGAGTGTATGTAAGTCGCGTTGGATAAAAGCGTCTAATATGTCACAGGTAATGCATCCCAAGTTGTTATTGCGAGAGTGTTTGAAAAATAAAGGTCTGAAAATCAAATGTCAAGATGTTCCCCCTGCACTCACACTGTGTGGGTGTGAATCTCATCTCTCATCTTTGCTCACACAGCCTTCCAGATTCCTGACTTTGACACATATGTACTGGAAAGTTGTTGCTATGGGTACCATGTAACAGCAGCCAATCAGGAGGGGGAATCTTTCTAAACCATCTGGGGCCAAGGATTACATCAACTTTAAAACTTCTCTTTGAATACCTCCTCCTTCTCTTTCTCTCTGTCTCCCAGTCACACCCATTTCTCCAAATAACTCTACCCTTGTCTTACCATGATCTTTTCTCTCAGCCTCTCTTAATCTCCATCGTTCTTTGATCCGTCTCACTCCGTAGGCATCTTAGATTTGTTTAACTTAGATATTTTTGCTTTAGTCAGGATCCTCTGGCTACTGCAGTTTAAGATCCAGAATAACTGTAATCACTAAGCAAATAACATGTCATGTTTTCTTTGGTGGCTTGGGTGTAAGAATGTAGAATAAGTATGGATTCTCCTGTGTGTTTTCATGTCAACAACTTATTCACGCTGGGTAGCTCTAACCTAATGTATATGCAAGCTCAAAAAATGTGCCGACAGCTGGTTAACTCACAGTAAGAAGCAGTTTCAAACACACATGTAAACCATTTGTCACAGGGTTCCTGGTAGATTAGTAGAGTCCCCTTTGACCGGTTCACTCACACTGTCCCCCAGCCTGTGCTCTGATTGGTCGGAGGGTTAAAGAGCACCATGATCACCATGAGGAAGATGATCTCTGCATCTTCCTCTCTGTCAGGGTTAGTCTTTTTTATTGTGCCACTCTCTTTTTTGCAAGCTGCTCAAGCAGATCCTTCTCCATTGCAGCACAGTAGCTGTGACAGATGGCCCTGCATGATTTCACACGTCAGACCCGGGGATAAAAACCGCTCACACACACACTAATACACCCTCACACACACAGTGAGAAAGAAGAATGACTAATGAGCATTTTGTATGTGATGCGAAATGCAGTGAGCTGAACACGCTAGCTGTATAAAGCTATATGTGCAAATATAACTTAACACTTGTCAGTAATTAAAGCTTTTATGTTTACATGATTAAAGCATTAATCAAATGAATCTGATGAGGTGGGAAACAGTCACACATTTAGTAGCTGTACTGCAGATTTTGATCACATCATATAATCCTCAACAGGTTTCTTACTTACTGTGAAAACGAGTTATTAATACCCTGCATTGGGCTGTGCAAAAGTGTGTTTTTATATTCTACCACTGGGGGCGCCAAATTCTACACATAGTGAATAAAGAACCTTAAAGGTGGGGTAGGTAATTTTGGAGAAACCAGCTCGAGATCGCTAGAATTGGAAAATACACAGCCGGAAAAAATCTGCCACTTCCTTACAGAGCCCCTCCTCCAACACACACGAACGCGCACATGACCAATGAGGGCACGAGATAAGTTTGTGCCCCGATGGAAGGCTGACAGGCAGGTAGGCCATCCAGTTACTTTAGCCGGGCCGGCTAAAATGATTGGTCGTGCTTTTTACAGCGCCACGGCTTCCACAGATGACGTTTTTTAATGAATTTTTTGTCAAAGCACTTAAGATATTCATTGCTATCGGGATGTTAAGAGCATTCCATGGAATATAACAAGAAGTGTACCTCGAGCCGGTTTCTCAAACATACCTACCCCACCTTTAAATATCTAATCAAATATCTTATCAATGAGTAGTTTTCAGAAATAGTTCAAGCTTATACAGCAACAGAAAATGTAATTAACAAACTCTGCTTCTTTTGTCAACCCTCCTCCATCCAGGTTTCTGTGATCCTGACTCTGATGGTGCCGTACGATGAGATTGACGCAGACGCTCCGCTCATGGAGATGTTTGCCGTGCATGGCTGTATGTTCGCAAAGTATATCGTGGCGGTGGGCTCCATAGCAGGACTCACTGTATCCCTCCTGGGGTCCCTGTTCCCCATGCCCAGGATCATCTATGCCATGGCAGGGGACGGCCTGCTGTTTAAGTCAGTATCTTATTAAGTGTTCATTTTCTTCAATCTAAATAAAAAAACGGAGTCTCTAATCTTATTTTCCTGTGTGTTCAGGTTCCTGGCCAATGTGTCTCCATACACAGAGACCCCTGCTGTGGCGTGTGTGGTGTCGGGCTTCCTGGCTGCCATACTGTCTCTCATGGTCAGCCTCAGAGACCTCATAGAGATGATGTCCATAGGGACTCTGCTGGCCTACACCCTGGTGAGTTTTATAATTCTGGACACATCACATTTTTTACATTTGTTCCTGAGATTTTGAGATGATTTGAAATGCATTCTTTCTGCAAATTATTGTGTAATGCCCCAGAGATTTTTGCTGGGAAAACAAATTCCTCCTACACTTGAATGATAATTATGTGAAAACTTAAGACAAGTAGGAAGAGAGTCTTAGCTGATATGCTATAAGTTAAAGGTCCCCTATTATACTGTTTTTCATCAATGTATTATAGCTCTCAGACATATACAAAACATGTCTCTGAAGTGTTTGGCTCCAAATACCAAACAGATCAATGTAGCATCCCATAATCCCCTCTGTTTCAGCCCTGTTTCAAAAGTGCTGATCCTCTGTCTGTTACGGCCCGTCCACACGGCAGCGTGCGTTGCTTCAACAGAGACGCTTCCCATTCACTTTGAATGGGGTGACGTCATGCTTCGCCGAACTGCATTGTGGTTTCGAAAGTAGAGAAAAGTTCAACTTTTCAAGCGTCGACGGAAGCGCCAGCATATATATATATATTGTGAAGCTGACCGTTGAGCGGCCCAGACCAAGCAAGGAGGCAGAGGCAGAACGTCCAAAAATATAACCCAACGTGGGCATTTATTAAAATATGAACACATTACACACAGCCTCAATCCTGCTGCTGCTGTTCAAGTGAGCACAGCCTGCAGCCACCAGGATCTCACACACACACACCCCCTTTACTAACAGACAGGGAAACAGAGCCTAAATACCCACACACACTAATCAGCAACTAGACACAGGTGAGGGGGGAGGAGACAACACAGGGCACCAGGTGCACACAATCCTTTAATAAATACTATCTCAATAATTAGTATTTAAAATGTGCAAATATGCCATACCAAACGGTACTGTGCAATCACGCTAATAAAGTGCAAAAAAAACAACTGAAGCCGTCAGTTCACAGTGACGAAGTTACCTTCGTCACATTTCCTTACCCCTCTCCCCAGGAAGCACAGTGTCTTAAAAGTCTCGGCTTCGGGACAACCAGTCCGCCACCCGCTTTCAACGCCGCCACCTCCAGCGGGGCCAGTGAAGCCGTTGTCAAACATGTCGCGCTGCCACCTATCCGGAAGCTGTCCCGGCCTGTTGCAAGGCGTTGGTCTGCCTCCAGCACGACTCAGGTTCTGTCGACTCCTCGTGGGTCCGGGTCCGCCTCCTCGGCCCGCAAACGCTGCTCCTCCTGCCTGTCTCCCGTCTCCTCCTGCCTGTCTCGCGTCTCCCGCTGCTTGTGTCTCGTCTCCTGCTGCCTCAGCAGCCGTGGCCCCCAGGTCAGTTCCAGGCATAGCCACCCCCAGCCGCGGTTCCTCTCTTTGGTCCCTCTTCTTTTCCTCTCGTCATTTTCACCTCCTCGCTTGGTCGAATCCCACTTCTGACACCAATTGTGTGTATATATATGCCAGTACAAGCTCTAGCCAATCAAACTGCGTGCTCGGGGCGGGAGATTAATGTGATTGGTTGTTGGTCACGCTCCAGACAAGCCCACCGGCAAGCTTCAACGCACGCTGCCGTGTGGACGTACCGTTACTTTAGATGTGTTTTAGTATGAATTGACGCTGTTTGGCATCACAACGCTGTTATGAAAGTTTCTCTGGTATAAAATGGGTGATGTTAGCATAGCAACCGAAGCTAAACTGACTATCTTGACTACTTGTTGCTATCCTATTGTGGCATAAGCCGTTTTCTACAGGCACATTTTACCAGCGTCATTTTCATTATGATTCTACTTGTGATAGTCGGACAGGACAACCTGTGCAGCCCATGTATTGATTCCATCCGATAGCTGCTATAATACAAAACAACACGTCTGCCTGCTCTCCACAATGATCAATAACAGCGAACGGATGGTCAAAGTAAGGTACAAATAAACAGAATCACACGAAGCCTGGTTAGTGTTGCCTGACTTTATAAAGTGTGTTTTTTTTATACGTGTGTGGTTGCGTTCTAGTCACTTTGCTCAGCGCTACTGCTTGTTACAACTTTTATTTGCCGTACTCGCCATAAATTGTTAGCTAAGGTTAATCCGACGTAAGCGTGACGTATGCGGTTCGTATGCGGTTCTTGCTTCTAGACCGAAAATGTTTTGGTGCTTGGTAAGAACCGGTTTTCGGGGAAAAGAGCCGGCTCCGCTGCGGTGTGAACAGGAAAAACCAGTGCTTATCAGGCTCAAGCTCCGAACCGGCCCTGGAACCGCGTTGGTGTGAAAGGGGCAAATGAGGAGATTCAGGTGATAAGGTGGGAGGTGGGGGGGGGGGGGGGGTTACCGTGGTTGGTGACAATGGGGTCCTTCTGCTTTGAATGGAAACACGTTTTTTCCCTCCTGTCTGCAGGTTAGCCTGTGTGTGCTCCTGCTGCGTTACCAACCTGAGGGGGACATCCATGGCTTTGTGAACTTCCTGTCTGAGGAGCAGAACAACAAGAAAAAGGAAGGCGTGCTGGCTGAGTGCGAGAAAGAAGCCTGTTCACCAACCAGCGAAGCAGATGAGTTCGGAGGCGCGGCCACGAACGCCTGCGGGGCCAAAAACCTGCCGTCGCTGGGGGACAACGAGATGCTGATAGGCAAACCAGATAAAAACGCCTACACCGCCAGCCACCCAAACTACGGCACGGTGGATATGACCACTGGCATCGAAGCCGAAGAGGAAGAGGGCGGGTTGTCCCGGCGGTTGAAGAAGCTCATTGGACCCCGCTACTACACCTTGAGGATCCGATTGGGCCTCCCGGGAAAGATGGACAGGCCCACTCCAGCTACGGGGAAAATTGTCACTGTGTGTGTGCTGCTCCTCTTCATTTCCATCTTCGCTTTCTGCTCCTTCATCATCTTTGGTGAGAACACAGGAACACATTCAGACAGGAGTTTACTATATAATGTTTAAATGAATTTGAACGAATTGTTTTTGTTGTCGTTCCTTCCAGGAGCGAGCAGTATTGGGGAGGGTCGCTGGTGGGCTCTGCTGCTGTTAATCTTCTTCATCACCTTCCTTGTCCTGCTCGTCATCATCATCCTCCAGCAGCCAGAGAACCCAAAGCGTCTGCCCTACATGGCGCCCTGTGTGCCCTTTGTACCTGTTTCAGCCATGCTGGTCAACATCTACCTCATGCTCAAACTGTCTGCCATCACCTGGATACGATTCTCTATCTGGTGCCTCGTGGGTAAGCCCCCACCTCACGGAATAACAGTTTGTCTTACATTTAGATTTGTGTCTTGTATTGCCAGATTTAAAGACAGGATCTGCGTGTAAATGTCATCCTAGATAGATGGAAACTCCCCATGTTACGATCGTAACCATGGAGTGATACATTTCATCACTGTGTGGAGTGTTTGTTTTTCGATGGAAGAACAATGAAGTCTCATTTCACTTTTATTTCCTGCCTCCGTTGTATCTGTCTGTACATCTGTATTTATCTGTGTGTGTTTGTGTATGTGTGTGTGCATGCAAGTGTTTTGGTTTGTGTGTAAATACTCCCAGCATGCAGTTCAACTTACCATTGTGTTGCTTCTTTGTAGTTTTCAGAATATATGCAGTTTTTGTACAAACAGAATTACTGCTGTATTCTTCCAACTCACTGAATTGTTTTTACCACTTGATAGAGCATGTACTCTTTCTCTGTGCTTTTACATTGGTGTATGACCTCCTACAATATTGCTCTGATTGTGTATGTATTTGTGAATATATATTGATATTTGTGTCCCTTCAGGTGTTCTAATCTACTTTGGCTACGGCATGTGGAACAGCAAGCTGGAGAAAACGGCCCGAGAGAACGAGGTGCACGCCTCCACCTACCAGCGCTACGACCACGGTGTGGACGAAGGCTTCTGCGGCTTCGACGATGATTTCCTCCCGTCTACCACTGACGCCTGGGGTGCGCAGGCGGGAGGTTCGGGTCTCACCCCGCCCCCGGTGGCCAAGCCCGAAATTGACGGGTCGCCAGCGAAAGATGGAGGCAGGACCGTTGCCAAACAAAACCTCGCCGAGGATGATCCGATGGATTTCTGAAGGGACTGCCTCTGTGTTACCCTGAATGTACTGCCTTGTCTGCTGCCTGGGGAAAGGGAGGGGGAACAGTAGTGTGAACGCATGAATGATTGTGTGTGTGTGTGTGTGCGTGTGTGTGCATGCCTGCATGCATGTGTGTGTATTTGTTTGTGTGGCTAACCCTTGGGCTAGATAGTTTCTTGACAGTGGAACGACTTATTATTCAGTTTACTCAACCACGCTCCTCAGCTCACACAGCAAATGAGGACTTCAAGGTCAAATGTCTTGTCACACTCACTTGTTATTCACTGGAGTCCACCGCCTACCCAAAGTAAAGACAGATAGGAAAGTGTCGACGTTACTGAATACCTAGAAATGTACGGGATATAGGAGAGGAGAAGGTGGTGAGGGAGGGACAGATGAATCAGCACCTCTCTTCCTGTTTCAACGACAGGACAGGAAAGCTAGATGACAGAATGCAAAACCCAAACTACTTCCTGTGAACAGGTCTGACTTTCTCTGCATGTTTCACAGGAAAACAGCTTCACATGCTCTCAAAAACACCAACAAATCATAAACGTTTATCTCCGTCCTCAATCATTTCCCCTGACCCCTGATATCTAGCCCAAGGGATAAGAACTGGACTGGGAAGAGGGTGTTGGTGTTTTCTGTCACAAATAGTACTTGGACTTTGCTTGCAATAGTGCCTTCATCTTCTGTATGTGTATGTGAGTTTCTTATTATGTCTGTTTTCTACTTTAATTTTGCCTGTGTATGTGTGAGGGTGTATGTGCAATCTAATTCAACCTTTTACATTGATGCTCATGACTGTGTGTGTTTGTAGATATTAAGTGAGGTTATTTTACCGTGTATGTGTAGGTATTTGTTTCGTTCCAATTTTTACCCCAGCATGAAGCTCAAAATCAACCCGCCCGCCACATATCAGCTCATGGTGCAATATAACACAAACACACAGCTCATTGGTGTAACCTAAAAGAGGAGAGAGAAGAGGGGACACAGGTCGAATCCTAATTGACAACCTTCATGGTTTATCGTGATTAACGTCATATTTTTTTTTATTTGCGTCTCTCCACTGATGCAGTTCTTGCTTTTTCCTAGGGCTGGGAAGGAATTCATTTTCAGTTCATTCAATTCAGGAAATGGGTTTTATACGGAGCGTGCAGCTTTTCTCCTAGAGATGAGAAAAATATAGAGACTGTCGAAAAATGGTTATTATTGAGAAAGGGGGGATTTTTGATGAAAAGAGGGCAGTTTGAAATGTTTTGTAAGAGCAGATGAGGGTCACTTTTTTTCTCTTCTCCCAGATTGTTCGTAAATTATGAATGAATTAAATTTTACTTTACAATTACATTTGTATTTAATATTGGGGGACATTACATCAGATTTAGTCTCTAAATCAGTGATTGCATTGTAAATACTTAGAGAAAAATGTGACACTTACTGAACTGAAATATAATCCCTCCTCTTCCATCCCTCTCCCTTTCTGGTCCCCTCTTTTGCTATTAAATATCATACATGTGTGTATTCTCTTCTTCCACCACCCCTCTGCTCTCCCAGCCCAACTCTTCCTCTTCCTCTTCATCTGTTTGCCACCTCACCGCGCTTGATATCCATCCGGCCTGTCAGCAGGGAGTTTCCACTTAGTCACAAGTGATGGAGCCGGGATTGCTTTTCAGTCAGGATGTGGATGCCAACCTGATGATACCTTAACTCCTGTTTCACCTCAGGGTGTCTGCTATCTCCCTTCTGATTTGTCTCTAGAGAATTTACTCCTCTCCAACCCCTGGTCTGAACTAGTCTAAGTGAACCTCCCTGTTCATGTAGTGTTGAAGCCCCACTCCTTTCGTGTTACCTACACTTTTGCTGCACCCCGAAGAGATTTTGTGAAAATCAATCAAATCAAAAATGTTCCTGTAGAGCTCAGTGTGTAGGACATTTAAGCTTTAGCTGCCAGGGTTAGGGGTTTCATTCCATACTAAGAATGTAAGCACTCATGGCACTGTAAGGGATTTTGGCACACACCAAATAGCATACAGTTATGTTATTATGCTGAGGGCCGGGGCACTCCTACAAAAGCTGCTGTATGTCCAAATTGTCCTTCTTGTACCTTTTCTTCTTGCCCCCTGTTGCTGCATATGTCCCTTCCTGGGAAGCCTTATTTGTCTAATGCACTAAATCTAAGGATGCCACGCTAAACCCCACCCTACCTCTGCTACTCCCACATCTATCCTCACTCAGAAAAAATAGTTTATTTTATGTATTGAAAGCCCTTTGGTGTCGTCCTTTGAAATGATTGCAATACCCGTACCCAAAAAACTGCCCATTGTTCCGAGGAATTACACTTTTATTGGATGATTCTGCAGCTTTCTAATAAAGGAAGTCGTGAGTGTTTCCGTTATGTAGTGGAACATTAGGATGATGAGGTTGTAGCGGTGCCCATCAGAGACCAATCATGGCCGTGGCTAACATTAAGCTCATGTCTAGTGTTTGCTTTCTAGACATGTGGGTGGTATAGTGACTTGGACGGTGTTTACATTCTACAATGGTGTATATTTTACAAACTCAATTCAACTACATGTTGGCCAACAACACGCATCAGTATTTCATGTACTGTAGGGACCTTCATGTAGCGAAATAAACATTTATGGAAAGAAAATAAAAAAGTATATACTTCTTTTTGGTGTCTTGTCAAAATTGAGAGGATAAGACTGCGTTTTGGGGGACTTGGACTCATGACTAGTATTTTTGAAATTGTTGATATAGCTCTTAGTAATACAATTGTAATGCCTTCTTTTAATGTAGAAACATATTTCCGAAGTCATTTGTTGTACAGTAGTAGCCTATTTAACCTACATTTACTGTAATGTAGACAGTTAGGAAGGACATTGAGGAAGAGAATGTTATGTGAATGTAGTTTATATTTTGGCACAAAGAAACATCAAGCTCAGTACAGCAGGGCAGGGAGTTGTCCTAAATACCAAAACCATAATAGTTCAAATAGTTGTTGCTATGCATTTGGATTGTAGATATTATGTTAAAAAAGTTGTTGCCATTGAACATATTTTGAGGTCTTGCAGAATTGTCCAATATTAAAGTTATTTTCCGGGGTTGCAAAAAAACAGCACATCCTTAAACATTCACACAGTTTATCTCACACAAGCATAGCATTTATTAGATTATATTGAACTATTCCCTCCACCCAGATCACCTCATATCAGCTAAAACAATCCAGATGTTTTCATTCATAGCTCAAATATGTGTTCAGCCAAAACAAGGCGGTAATACAGCCTGACACTTCGACACTGTACTGTACATTCGATCTACCATAGCCTATTACAGGCTGTGTATGCGAGTGTGTGAGTGCATGTACGTGTGTGATCTATGCCTGCGCCTCAACGTGACCCTGTGGTGAATGTGTAGCATGCTTTCATGCATGAGGCTCTGACCGTAAATGTTGTTCCTGCATGTGGTGACTGATCGCTGCGAGACATAATACAACACTAAACCAAAACAAACACAGGCCTACTTCTTACACCTGGGAACGCTGGCCTCTCTGCTCTGAGAAGATTGAACAGGTGTAATACAAGCAAAGCAGCTTCAAAAACTTCATTGTTCTAAACTCTTACCAGCGAGTGAACTGAATGCTGTTGTATAGCCTACAATGCAGACTCCTATGATTTAGATTCAGATTCAAACCCAGACCTTTTCTTTACTGTATGTTACAATTTGAATTGTACCGGCTTAGAAGATTACTTTCTGGATTCTCTCCTATTTCTTTAAGCTCACACAGTAATATTCTCACATAGAAATTGGAACCAGGGCTCCTCCTGAAAAGGTAGTAGAACATGTAGCAACAAACAGGTGTGACAATGACTCCTCTCTCACCCTCCCTTACAGTATGCCTACTTCCTGTAAATCCCTTTTCTTAACCAAAACCTCTACAAACCAAAGTCCACCATTTTTTGTTTATTGTTTCTTCAAAGTAAACACTTAAGATACAAAAGAGATAACCATTTTGCTTGGTGGTCTGCTAATAGCTACTGATTTCAGTTTGTCACAAGGAGATGTTTTTCTTGTCACAAGCAACAGTGCAATGATGATTTTTTAAAACCCTAGTTGCTAAGTATTAGTCTAGATTTAATTTACTACAGCGGATCAGTTTGTCCAAAAGTTATAAAAAACATTAAAAAACGTATTTTTCTACAACTCTTTCCCGTTCACAGGTCCTCCTCGAGTAGGTGTGCACAACAAAAGCTGGGTATGGTTATCAATGTCAGCATTTACCTTCTCCATTTGTGTTAAGTCATAAGGAGGCCTGGGAGAAACTGCTACAATATATTTTTAACAAGTGTAGTCTTAATCCCTTACCTTCAAGGGTTTCGAAAAATGGTTTCTTTTGACGTCAATAGGAATGTAGAAGGTTTGGAAATACTACAGAAAACATGCAGAAACTATTTTAATACAATCCTATAAAGGGAGAATATACAAGCATAATCCAATTTTGCCACCATTGCTTTGAAAGTCAGCTATTATTTGTTTATTTTGTCTCGGAGAAGGAGTGCCATGTTCTTCTTGTGCTCTGTGTTCGCTGTGGCCAAGTGTCGACTCAGTGTGTGTCAGACTGTTGAGGTTGGCTTTTCTTGCAAACAAATAGATATTACTTTACTCTTCTGTATATTTTGTCACAAAGCTGTATAATGTAGTTGTTCTTTATGTAATTTTTGTAATGGTTTCTTCCATATGTGTGGTTATATTTGCTCCTGGTTGCACTGTTTTTTGCTGAGTTGTTATTGCTTCCATGCAACAATGAAAGCTATTTATTGCAAATACAAAGAGGCTTGCTCATTTTTTGAAGGTTTTCTGTGCTTATAATTACAATGACAATACATGATATACAATGACATAATAAATAACTCATATTACTGACAGCAAACCAGCTAGACCAGGGCTAGACTTGAAAGAAAAAGAGACGGACAGTCAAAAACAGTACAAGCTAACATTATTCCATTAGCATCAATCAATCAATCAATCAATCAATCAATCAATCAATGTTTATTTATATAGCCCAATATCACACATGTTACATTTGTCTCAGTGGTCTTCACAGTGTGTACAGAATATTAGTATGACAATACGACACCCTCTGTCCTTAGACCCTCTGTCCTTAGACCCTCACATCGTACAAGGAAAAACTTCCAGAGAAAACCCACAGTTTAAAGGGAACATGGGAGAAACCTCAGGGAGAGCAACAGAGGAGGGATCCCTCTCCCAGGACGGACAGACGTGCAATAGATGCTGTATGTACATTGAAAAGATGATACATTTACAACATAGGTAGACCAAATGTTTGGAAATGCATGTGTCTATAATAAGAAGATGAATCCACGAGGATGTCAACAATCCTGTGGGAGCCATCAGTGAAGTAGTATGGTGAGAGTCTGGCAGGACCGCAGAGACAGGTTCAGCCACGACTCGAAGTCCAGGACTCAGATCCAGTGCTCAGGATAGAGGATCCAGGACACACGACCACAGCAACATGATTAGCCTCGACTCAGGATCCCGGCGTATATATGGACACAAAAAAAGAGATTTGGGGGAAACTGGGTTAATCGGAATATGAGAGTACACAGGTACAAACAGCCAGAAAGACGGAGTAAGGTGCCCCCCTCAACAGTCCAAGCCTATAGCAGCTAAACTAACGTGTCTACATACATGCACTCCCTTAGGATAGGTTGAGGGAAAAGGGTAGCAAGTAAGAAGTAGGAAACAGAGGTGGAGAGGCACACAGGGAGAAAGGTCCCCATTGGAACCTGAATTTGTCAGAGGAGTGGGTCAGTGACTACGTTCCACACTCCCTGGCCGGGCTAGGCGTTCACTGCAACCTGTTACCCTCTAATAAACCTTGAGAGGTCAGAGAGGGGAAAGGTTTGGATAAAGTTTTAAATATAAGATCTAAGTTTTTAGGATTTAAGTGAAAGAGTGAGAACTAAAATGTATAGGTGAAGAGGCACAACGTATCTTCGTCAATGCACTCTTATTAGATTATTTTATTTTATCACTATAAGCTTTATCAAAAAGGAAGGTCTTAAGCACACTCTTAAAAACGGATAGGGTGTCTGCCGCCCGAACACAAACTGGAAGCTGATTCCACAAATGTGGAGCTTGATAAGAAAAGGCTCTGGCTCCCATTGTACTTTTAGAGACTCGAGGAACAACCAACAACCCTGCATTCTTGGAACGCAATGCCCTAGTAGGACAGTAGGGTATAATGAGTTCTTTAAGCATCTTCCACTTTGGTTGGTGCTCAAGCTAGCTACCTTCCTGAGCCAGCTAGCTTGGAGATGTCATGCTACTGAGCCCAAGCATGTTCCTACTACTGTAGCTTGCTAACATCCTTGCAAGTATACGATACGATAATACTTTAATGGTCAGATGAAGTCTGAAATGTTTCAGCCCTGTTTCAAAAGTGCTGATTCTCTGTCTGTTACTTTAGATGAAAATAAGGAGCCCCTCCCCACGCCCCTCTGAGAGACATTTGGTTGAAAAGAACACAATGGTGCTCTAGGAGGAGATTCAGGTGATAAGGGGGGGGGGGGCAAACAATCTTTATGACGTCAGAAAGTGGCCAAAATCTGATCAGCTCATTTTCAGACAGGTTTTTATATAAATGGATCAGGACAAAAGAGAGAGAATCTTTGTTCCTGAAACTTCCAGAATCTCTTCACACAGAGGGGACACATGCTGATGTAGAAGAGACATGAAGAAGTGGATTTGGCTTAATAGGTGACCTTTAAAACAAAGTGTGTATCCCAGATTCGTTGGTTTAAAAGCATGATAGACATTCAAGCCAAAGGATTCTTTCTACACTACACTGATCAACAGGTGGCAGTCACATGTCATGAAAGGCAATAAGGAAGACAACAGGCAAGTACACATGGATCCTAACAAAACAGGGTTCAAAGTAACTATTAAGAAAAGTTGTGCAAATGCTTTATGAGGAATGAAATGCATTCAACCTTTTTGATGGACCTCAATGTCCATGAAATACTCAGCAGAGCACCTTCAATATTATTGTCTGGCTTTTTACAAAAGATTCAAGTTGTTCACTGAATCTTTCTCAGTGAAATTTGCACGGTCAAACCATAGCCTTAACACAATTATTTCATGGATGGTATAACATCCCTTTGAGTTAAGCAGCACAGTTATTGTACAATTCTGTGAACTGAAAGTGAAAGCTGTGATGTCTTTCACTCAGAACAGTGGTTTATATTGATTCTTCACAAAACTACAAATTCTTAGAGCAAAAAAACCCTATTTGTCCACCGGCACTGTAGCTTCAATAAACCAGAACACAACACATGAGTGTATATCAGAGGGCTCGACTCTCCCTCTCTCAACTGTAAAAAAAACTAGCTGTATTCCTCTAACATGATTGCTACGATTTTCTCTTCTCACCTTCCACACATCCGGAGGGGAGACGGTCATGGGAGTTATCTGGGTGTTGATAAACGGTATTCTGGGAAATGAAACAGAAATGTACACCGAAGTAGAAATACACAAGTCAGGTGGAAGGACTGTGGATACAGAAAAGTAAAATACTTAATCAAAACATAATTGCGGGAAAGGAATATCACAGAGGACTAGTGTTTGTGTATGATAATGTCCTGAATCTCTGTTCAAACTTGAGTCAACAATAAAACATATTTGTAGATAGAAACTAAAGATAGCCCCTTTTTAGCATAGCGTATAATAACAGCGCCAGTCTCTTACAGTAATATAGGACCGCTTGGTTAGCCACTATCCTTCCCCTGGCTTCCTGTGGACGGGATGGCTGTGTGCCTCGAACAGCATCACATTTCAGAGTATACACACACACCGACATGATCGCAATCCTGATTCATTTTCAGGAATGATGTGCAGAAAGGAAAGACGGCTGTGTGTGGTTGTCTGAAGATAAGCTGAGGACAAAGAGAAGAGATAGCAAATATTGTTTTTAAAAGTATCATGAAATATCTAATATTTGACTCAGCGATCTTGATATGAACAAAGGAGCACAAAGTAAACCACACACTGGACACAATTATCTTTCTTTGTTGCTGTGTGTGTGTGTCGTGGTTAGCAGGGGAGGGCTGGTACAGTGTGTATCGCTGAGTGTCCTAGACAGATTCCTCTGTGCTGACCTGACTCGAGGTCACTGAGTCTCATTACAGATATGGTGCATAAATAACCATTCATGTTCTTCTCAGCGTATATTCACACAAACAGGGAAACATATACCAAACACAGCAGGGCAGTGATTGCTGTATCACACACACACACACACACACACACACACACACACCCACACACACACACACACACACACACACACACACACACACACACACACACACACACACACACACACACACACACACACACACACACACACACACACACACACACACACAACGCTAACTTACTGTATCATGTTTTTATTTAATATTAACAACCAGATATGAATGAAAACTGATTCACGGGGTTAGAACATCTTATCGACTCAGCGTGACACACTCAAGACAAAGGCACTTTTAATCACTTTGTCTTTATTATAGAAAATCAAAGAAAAGCACATCAATGAAACAATAAATAACCAACTAATACTGCTTCTGCATGGATCTGAGTTTTCCATTACTGTTCAGAGCACATTTGTGAAATTAAACATTCAAGTCATCACATTCCTTCAAGAGAAGCTAATACCTCTAAAATAATACTGATATGTTTTGGTGCACACAGACATTCTTTCAGCGACAGACCTGTTCTATGTATTGATGTTTGATGGAAATATAATTATACAGTTGAAAGGTAAGCTGCTTTTTGGTCTTTCACTCACTGTTATTCAAATAAAAAAGTTAGTCACATTAGAATATGTAAGCATTGGTTTATAAAAAACTACTAAGATGGGTGAGGAGTCAACACAAGATAAGGTTTTGCACTCTCTTATAAGTCATTTTTGCCAAGTCAGTGCACATATTAAGGCTCCGACACAGATTGCTGGCTACATGCTGTGTTATTTATGTCGCCTTCATCCTGCAGAGGCTGGGAAAACAGTGCTGCGTTTTTTAATCAAGTCGGTCAGTCGAGGCACTAGAGAGCTGTACAATACTGTCAAAGAAAAATCTATGATGTTACTGAACACATTTTCAAATACAAACGTAATACTGTCATACCCTGCTCTTATCAAAACAACAGACCATGATATATGATTTTTCAAACAAGGGAAACACACATTATATTTCATCTGTAGGAGGATCTAAATAGAAAAATATAAGAAATGTAGAAGGTCAATATCTCAGCCCTTAATGTCTTAGGTGATTGGGACTTCAGGCTTCGGTGCACACAGGAGCTTGTAGAACTATTTAACAGCAGGGAGAGTCCTCACCACGCCTAACACGAGGACGCGGAGAGGTGACCTCTGTGATGCAAAAACAATCCCCCAAAGCTCCAACAAAAACAGTCTTTGTGTATGTGTGAATGTCTCTTTTATGTATGCTTCATTCAAAACTTGTGTATTTTTCTTGAACGTGAATGGGTGTGTTTATGTTCTTCTATGCCTGTAACTGTGATTGTATGTCTGTGCTTGTGTAAATGTATCTATACATAAACTACAGTCCCCTAGGCGTCCTCTTCAGAAATCTCTCCCCTCTCAGACGTGGGCGCTCTTGGCGTGATTGGTGGAGGCTGCTGCTGGCGGGTTGCCACCGCCTTGTTTGGAGTAGTAGAAACGATTGTTTTCCTGGTAGGAGCGAGATGAGGAGGAGGACTCTGAGGAGCAGCAGGTGAGAATGCACCCGCCCAGCAGGGAGAAGATAGAGCCCACCCATCCGGTGTAGAGGGAGAAGCCGAATGACATGAGGCCGTGCTGCTGGTGAGCGCCGATGGGGAACCAGACTGTGGATACCAAACCGCAAAGTGCTGAGGAGAAACACACAGAAACATAGTCATATTACATTTCATTACAAGACATTTTAGTTACATTGAAAATATACAAACTCTGCCTCTGAAAGTATTATAAACAACCACACACATACGAGTAACTTTAAAAAAAAAAAGGTTTTATTCCGAGTGCAGTTAAATGGGGAATGCAAAAAAAGTTATAAGATAAGACGGACTTTTTATTAATCCCTCGTGGGGAAATTGTTTCTCTGCATTGGACCCATGCTGCCATTTTGAACGGCGCCCGGGGTGCAGTGTGGGGAACTGTGCCTTGCTCAGGGACACCTCGGTAGCACTTGGTCTTGCCGGGACTTGAACTGGTGACCTTCCGGTTGACAATCCAACTCCCTATCGACTTCACCACCACCGCCCCCTAAACTTCACCACCACCGCCCCACACACACGTACTAACACCAACACACAAACACTTTCTATCATTAAACATGAAGCACATCACTTCACAAAAGAGGCGGAGCATTTGAAATCTGAATGTAAAAGCTTGTAACTAAATGATGCTGCTGAATGTTGTACGTATACACACGTCTTCCATCAACACACAGTGCTGTCTTTGCAGGGCAATGATAATAAATAATACAATTAGGGATGCAGAATGGTGCTCATAAATCCTGCCTATCATAAAATGTAACTAAACTCTGTATGCAAAATGGTGCATCTAAATCCTGCCTTTACACAAACATCCTGTAGCATCATCATTCATAGAAGTGACAAAAATACAGACAATAAAATGTTAGTGAATTAAGGTGGTGCAAAAGTATAACGGCACCAATTCTGCATTACTGCGACCTAGTTATTTAACTCTCACACTAGCCCTGGTCACGGTTATTAAACTGTGGAACTATTGCAGTTTTGTAATAATTTATTCTTTAAACACAACACATGGAAGATTGGAAGAAAGAATGTGTGAAATAATATTAGCTGGCAACAAGACTTATTGGTGTTACATACGCTTTGCCTTGAACTACAGAAGAGAGGCAGGATCTAAGACTTGTACAAATATTGAAATCCCTTCACAGCTTACAGGGACACCCTTGGTATATGTTGGATGTTTGCCAGTATGCAACCCAGAAAGGGCAATAACCAAATCCACTGTGGACTGAAGTATTTCCAACTGCTGCTTCAGAGGACACAGTTTGCAAAAATAATTAGAGTTGGAATTAAAATAATTGCTTGTGGGATGATTTTGTTGCCAGTATGATTGGCGACATGATGATTTGTGCAACAAGCATTCAAACACACAAACAAATCCTCCCTGATGTAAAAATGTTTCCAGTGACAAAAATACATATTAACTAAGTCAGGTTTTTTATTTTCCTATGCACGTAATGGTGATGTTTGAAAGTGGAGAAAACGTGGGCAGTGGAGAATTCATATGACAGACACAGGTGTTCAAATTAATTTAACGGATGTAGGCGTTGGAAAACTTCAGCAGGACCAATCAAATATATAGTCAACTGGACAATTCAGGAAATCAGTTTCCATGTGTTTTAGGACAAAGGCAGGGTGTGGATGAGAGTAGGTGGAGGAGAGGAATGTGAGGGGATCTGGGGGAGGGTTCAATGAAACAGAAACATATAACGTGTGTGAGTCCATCTGTGCCCTTGGGAGGAAGTCAGTCATATTCTCTGCTCTCAGCAGCTTGTAAGCATTTGAGGTGGGGTTAAAAGAGGTCACAGGCAGGAAGGTCAGACAGGATCCTAATGTGTGCCTGTCAGCGTTAAACAATTCCCCCTGCTCTGAATTACTCTATATTTTTGACTGACTGTGACATTCCATCTTCATCCAGTACTGTGAATAAAGTAAAGTTGAGTCTCTTACCGACTATGAGAACAAGCACTCCTCCCAGGATGATGCGTTTGTTCTTGGAGGCCTGGGGTTCATTTCCGAGGCTGATGCAGGGCATGGACATGAGGATCATACCCAGAGCTGGGAGACCCAGGATCGAACCAGTGATCATCAGGGCACGAGCCGTCTGGATGTAGGCTTTAAAAACACATAAAATGACTGTCAAAAATATGTCTTCATATCACAGAGGTAAGATTTGTGGGTATTGTTTCATGTGAGGTAGGAAAATAAGAAACACAGTGGGGAAAAAACGTGTAAATAAACTGTATAATTCCAGCTGAGAAAAAGAAATACATCTTAATGTGTCTAAATGATTAAAAAAAACACATTGGTTTGGGGGGATGTACACAGAACTATGTCTACCTGGCAGGTCCAGGATCTGCGTCAGGGCGATGCAGTGGTAGAGTCCAGTGGAGATGACACAGTCTGCCCAGGGTCCTTTGGCTTCCAGCTCATCCATCTTCTTGCATGTGTTCAACCCGTATTTACACATAATCACCCAGTCATTGGTGGCTGTTGCGATCACGATGCCCAGCCAGCCGATGCAAGTGATGAGAAATCCACTCAGTTGAAGACAAGAGTTTGCCATGGCGCAAAGTGTGCGTAAAGACCACTTTTCCCACGTCAAAAACCGTTAGAAACCGTAAAAAATGCAGTTGAGTTATTAAAGAAATTAACTGATTTTAGAAGTAATATTCCACAAGTTAATCCAGTGTCAAAGTTTACTTTCCCCCTCGCAGTTCAGTTAGTCCATCAATGGAGCTGTGGTGCGCACTTCAGAAGAATGAAGCTCTCTCATCATGGTTTTATAGGGGAGAGTTTATGAAGGGAAAAACTACTCTAAAAGTGACAACCAATCAGAAACTTAGATAGGGATTTTGTTTTCAAGTTAGAAAATAACACACCCCACCTTATTTCCCTGCTCTGCCCCTTCATTGCCTCTAATGATAAAACCCAGCTGCAGGGTGGACTCACTGTGTTGGAGCTGAGGAGATGTAACCTAAACTCTGCTGCCATCTACTGGCCATTTTATAAAGGCCTATCACACATCTGTATTATACCCACACAATACTAAATTTGGATCCCTAAAGAAGCAGTGCTGGGAATATTTAGCAGGGGTGGAAGTAACGAATACCATTACGATCTATTGTAGTTACTTCAACCAACTAGGAGGCTATTTTGTGTATTTTTTTCAGACCTTTTCTTGCACTTAAGTATTTTTACCTCAATATATGTATTGTACTTCGCCACATTTCAAGACAGTTACCGAGTACAAACAAAAGTCACGTGAAAAAGTCATGTAGTAAGAAAGGTGGTAGGTGACTTCACTCTGGTGGGGGTGTTTGAAGTGACCACCTTCAGGGGATCTCTGGGGGGCGGTGACGTAGGATGCAATGCAAGAACATTTACTAATGAAATTATACGGGTAGGCCTATAGGTTTTAGGAAGAATTAGCATGAAGTGTTTCTCATCATAAGGGAAACGAGACTTGCACCTAGGTTTAAAGGTATTTTATTTAAATGATGCACCACCCGCTGGGCTTGTTTAGCGACTCAAATCGAGCACACCCACAGAGCAACAGGTGGACGCTGGATCTGGCAAAAATGCTAAACGTATAACAACGCTTCACCTACATGCTCATGTTGGATCCTCCAGATGTGACTTCCACATGTGCACAGGAACTTCCACTTTCAGTCAGGTGTGTGACGATTTTGTGCTGATCTGAAACTAATACTGGATATAAAGCCGAGCCTCATTCAGCTCTAAATGTTTGACAAGTTTGAGGAACACAGTGGCCCAAGAGAGCCCGAGTGCTCTGCTATTCTGCGACAGAGAGGTGATTGAATGAAACCATAAACAAATCACGGAGGACTTCGCCATGTATGAGACTCCAGCCTGGTGAGTAGGCCTACAACACACATGTTACTCAAAAGCTGAGCAGCTGTTTTTGCAAGCTTTTGCGCCTCCTGCTTTGTTTAAAACACATGAATAAGTGATTCCCACAGCATGTTAATACTTTGGGGGGCCCCCAAAGTATAATGGCTCCCCCCAAAGTATAATTTGTGTGTTTTTTGTTTTTTTTTACTCAGTGAGCACTCATTTGCATTTGCATTGGTGGCAATGAGTGCTCAGTGAGTAAAAAAAACTTTAAAAACCATAAATTATACTTTGGGGGGAGCCACCCATAAATTATACTTTGGGGGGAGCCATTATACTGGTAAACAGCCTCTATGGGCGCGAGTCCAGACCCACTTTTGGAATCAAATGATGACGTCAGTGGGATTATCTCCTTTATCAACTCCTAAGCATCCCCGTGACAACATCACTAGCCCCGCCCCTAAAAAGGTGTGAACTTGAGCCAATCAAGGACTACTACTACTAGGTCGTCCTTAGACGAGTTTGCCAACGGGTTCGCCAATCCTCACGGTCCTCCATACACCCGGCCAGCTCTGTGGAGCTTTCCACCCCCACATCCTTCCTCAGCACCTCCATGTATGTTGGCGTGGGGCGCCCTCTTGGTCGGTGCCCGTGTGTTGGCTCCCAGAGTACTAACTTGCCAGTTGGAAGTTCCTGGTGTCGATGGCAGTGACCTGCAAATTTCAGTTTCCTGGATGCCACCTTGTCACTCAGCCTGGGTAGCCCACCAGGACTAGCCCCGCTCCTAAATTTTTGAGAGATTTCTGACGAGATTTTTTCTCCGAGTCGTTCCCCCAAAGTATATTTCATTTCTGCGGGAATCACTGGACTCTATATAATCATATGTAAGGGATAATGTGCAGCGACGCGGTCATTATGGGGAAAAGAACACCGACAGGCTGATCAGGAGCCCGACGCGAAGCGGAGGGATCTAGATCGGCATGAAGGCACATTATCCAATGTGCAATGTGCACATTATCCCGCTTATTACATGGCCACATTCTCGACAAAGTAACGACATGACTCCCAATATTAATTGAAATGCTTTTATGGATATAGAAAATTATTTTATTGATTTAAAAAATAATTGTAGGTATTGATTTAAATTGACATGCATCCGCTAAGAAAAGTAGTCCGTTGTTACTGTTTGAACTAACGTAGCAACGGCAGGAACTGCTTCGATAGTGTTTTTGAGGAGCTTTTTGATTACAGATTTGAAAACATTGTTGCTTGCTTTAAAAGTAGCACAATTCATGATGTCAAACCTTGGAAAGTATCTAGATATCCCTGCCCTAATGCCAAAGTAACTGGCAACTGAATATGTGTTGCCGTTTGATGTCTATGTCTGGACCGCTGCGTAAAAAGGAGGGGTTCTGCCCCATTACTTCTCTTCTTACTTCTATAAGAATAAAACATGGTGGACGGAGATCTCTTTTTCTCCTCCTCTTCTCCCCGCTGCAGCCTAGCAGCTGATCTTAGAGCACGCTCCCCTCTCCTGCAGGGGGGCGTGGTCAGCTGCAGCTCACAGAATCAGCCCCCTGCAAAAACAGCACTGGAAAGAGCGAAATGAGGCATGGCTAAAATGCAGAATCTTTTTGGTATTTTGAAAAAAACCCGATATTTATATACTTTATATAGGTATGGCCCTACAATATATTGTTCAAATATAGCATGATAGGTGTCCTTTAAATTTGTTTTTGTGCACCATTTGCTGTGTCTTTGGTTGATTGCTAGACATTTCTGTGTATTTTACTGAGTTTTTCTCTTTATTTTTGGTAAATTCCTTAAAGCTGGAGATGCTTTTTGTTTTGTTCTAAGCATAGGCTGGAAATGTCCTTCGCACTATTTATATTTGTGTGTGTACTGTTGTTTTGCAGGCCCCTATCTACCAGTGGTTGAAAGTACTTAATCACAATGTTGAGTTACGTACTTTACTTGAGTGTTTCCATTGAGTCCTACGTTACCCTTCTACTCTACTACATTTAAAAGGGAAATAATGTATTCTACTCCAGGACATTTATTTGATAGCTTTTCAGATTAAGAGTGCGTTGAAGACCTACATTTTTAACAAAGCCTTCAGTTAGAACTGGCATCTGATGTTATTCATTTTATTTTTATTTCTATGGTTAATTTGAATGTTTTATATATTTGTATTGTCTTTTGTTGTATATTATTTTGTTTTGTTTTATTTCTATTTGTATTCCACGCACTATCTTGTCTTCTCATTTTGCTCTAACTCCATCATATACAATGTTGTTGTTTGTTTTAGATAGGGGATTTAGCTTTTTAAAAAATGATAGACATATTGCATCTCTTAAATGGAATAATTGCTTGAGGTGAAAAAAGGTAAAGTAAATATATTTACAGCTTAATCCAACAAATTAAAAGATAATGTCATTTATATGAGATAATATATTCCTATATGGAGGCAATTTTTAAGTACATGTTGCTGGTAATACTTCTGTACTTTTACTTTAGTAAGAAATTGAATGTGAGACTTTTACTTATGGAGTATTTTAACATAATGTCCTGGTACTTTTACTCACGTACAGGATGGGAATACTCTTTCCACCACTGCTTTCTACAGTCTATAGCAGTGGTTCTTAAACTTTTTTCAATAATGTACCCCCTTTGAAACATTCAGCCAAGTACCCCCTGATCAGCGCAAAAAAAATGGTTAGGGAAAAAATGCCTATATAAAGAGGTACAGTACAGCGATGCACCATCAGTGTCTGATTTATTAAAACAACAACCTTGTAACTGAGAAACACTTAAATGCTACATTTCAAATGTTTACAATCCATCACTAAATTCATGGCAAACCAATTTTAACATCATGCAATAACACTGAGACGACATTAGTTGCATTGAACTGATCTTTTTAATAAGTTGTACTTACAATATAGTGAAACATGGGCTTGTGCTTCACTGAGGATCTTTGTCATTCTGACATGAGGCAACTGCAGTTATTACACTTCACGTTTTGAAACATGTTTAACTCTGTTCATATAAAACCCACACTGCTCAAACTTTGTTACTTTTCCTAAAATTAGTATATTTATTTATTTTGGGGCGTGGGGAATGAAGAGAAAAAGATATATGAGCATTTTATGAGCATGGGATTTTGACCCCTCATAGCATAATGCTAGGGTTAGTGTTAGGGTTAGGGTTAAGATAAGATAGACTTTTTATTAATCCCTCGTGGGGAAATTGTTTCTCTGCATTTGACCCATCCTAGTGTTAGGAGCAGTGTGCTGCCATTTTGAACGGCGCCCGGGGAGCAGTGTGGGGAACGGTGCCTTGCTCAGGGACACCTCGGTAGCACTTGGTCTTTCCGGGACTTGAACTGGTGACCTTCCAGTTGCCAAGCCAAGTCCCTATCGACTTCACCACCACCGCCCCCCCGTTAATGCTATACTTTGCGGCCACACGCCGTTGCCAAGCAACGCTTATTGTTTAGGTCCTTTGATAAGCAGGCAGTCATATCATTAACTAGAACCAGCTAGATCTGATAGATTTGGACATAAACGCGAGTGAAATATAACCGGCCGCGAGAGAGAGAGATCAGATCAGCTGCTGCTGACGGAGAACACGCAGCTCTGCATGATCACAGCTCCGTCCGCTGTGACGGACCGTTGAGCGGAGCAAAATACACTAAGAGTTAGACCTAACACACTTAGCTATTTCATCTACTCTGGAACTAGCTAAACTAGTTATACATATATTTATTCTTTACTGTCGGGTCACTTATTACAGGTTCAGCGAGCTGCACGAGACTGACTGGCTGTCAGGAGAGGGAGAGGAAAAGAGAGCAGCCCGTTTATTGTTCCCATTTTATTATCCAGAG